AGAGCCCAAGCCGCAACATCCACGCTGCTATTTTTAGCGTGCTCGCTCGAGCCCCGCTACTGTGAATCTGTCTACTCAGACTGGAAGTCTTGCTCCCAGCTGCAGTGTAGACGTACCCCCCTAAGCACCCTTTCCACTGCCAGGGTTGTGTAAGATTATGTCTACACCACAAAAAAGGGGTGTGCGTAACTCAGGTTAGCATACACACATTAACTAACTCTGGTTAAAGTAGCAGTGAAGACACAGTCACTCAGCTTTCCACTCGGGTTAGCAGCTCAAGCTCAAGGAAGGCCTGGGCTTTGGTGTAAGATCCAAGTTAGAAAAGTTGAGTTATCTTGTCTTCATTGATACTTAACCCAAGTTAGCTAAGGTGGGTTAGCTAACCTGAGTTATGAACCCACATACTATTTCAGTGTAGATATACCTTAGTGTATGGGCCTTAGTGTAAACGAGAATCTGGCATAACAATTCCAGGGGTAAAACTCCCATTGCCATCAGTGGGAGCAGATTTAAGTCAATGCTGAGCAATTTTGAAAATACCACCCTACTATGACAGGTTTCAGAGTAACAGCCGTGTTAGTCTGTATTCGCAAAAAGAAAAGGAGTACTTGTGGCACCTTAGAGACTAACGGTGGTCTTACTCTGAGCCAGTTTTATGACTGCTTCCTACCACAAAACAGGACTTGCCACTGCAAACTCAATATTGTCAAGTTCACAAAGGGTTAATTTAAATATTAAAACTAGTTGGGAAGTGCTAGAGGAGAATCTGGCAAACACCTTAAGGATCCTAGTCCAAAGTAGCATCAAATATTTTCACTTCTGCTCATGTAACAGCCTGCCTGCATCAACAATCTTCTTTATGACCTTATGTCTGTTGGGAATCAGCATCACTATGATCATTGTTCCACTAATTCACTTATGTAATACTCAAGGCAAAGTCTCCTTTTTTTTTGGTTTGTTTGTTTGTTTTTCCCTTAAGTCTGATTCATGTGTTGGTTTAAAAATTAAAAAATGGGGGCTGTGATTAAAAATAGTGCTTACTAATAATAACAAGCAGACAAAGCAGGTCTGGATTTTTTTGTCTTTTCTCCCTCAGTGATTCTCTAAAGGGAGTGAGACAAGTCAGCTCGTCCCTAATGGAAACACTGAAGTGGAGATAAATCTGATGTTATACCATCATCACACTACAGCAAGAGAACCTAGGTTCTTCTTGCAAAGCAGTACAGAGGGCTTTTCATTTCAGTAATGAGTGCTGTATTCTCCACAAGACACAAGGGAACAAGGGTCATATCCTGGGGTGGGAAGTTAGTAAGTGTAGTCCATTTACGCATTTCAGAAAGGGTCAGGGAGAAGCAAATGTCTGAGTGGAAGACATTTCCTTGGCTATCTTCACAGCTCAGCCAGAGTGGGACACTTTTCACCACCGCCAGTGTCACTAAAGTTATAGCCCTGTCATGAATGAAGCAGGCAAAGCCAGGTACAGAGATTAAAAACAAGCCAGTGTGAATAGCAAATTCTCAAAGAAAGTGCCCTGTAAATTTCTCCTGTCTTGTTGCTTCAGTCTCACGATGCAGACTGTAATAGGAAATGAAAGTAGGAAAAATATCATGGCGATGTTCAAACTGCAGCTTCACAGCCCTTCTCATCACTGGTGCTTAGATACGGTGCTATAGAGACCACCAACTTAAACATGCCTAAGATAGATAGACCCAGAGGAGCCTGAGGCAGAAGAGCCTAGAGAGCACAACAGCAAAGACCCCAAGGTTTTTTCTAAATCACTATCATCATCCATATTTATTCAAGAAAGAACCTTAAATGTACAGTGAGCCAGATTCTCTGCTGTGCCTATTTTCTGCTCGGTGCAGCAGAGCTGGGGCAGGGGAGGGGGTTCCCTGATTCTCAAGGCAGAGCTGCACTGTTCTGGGCCCCAGCATAGGTTAGAAGAGCCTTGAGGCTGCTCTAAATTATGCCAACTCTCAATGGTTCCTCGGATAATATCCGTCACCTGACATAGGCAAAGCACTGCACTCTCTGACCAAACCCCAGCTCCAACATGCCCCCGGGCCTGAGAGTGGGGGTGCAGATCTGGCATAGGTAGCCTCTGAGCTGAGAGCTCTTCCATGCTTGGGAAAGTCTTAGCTGGCCAGAACAAGCTACTTTTCCGCTCAAAGCAGCACAAAGGGTCCAGAACACAGCTAAGAATCTGGCCCAGTGTGTTTAATTAATAGCATCACTGCATTGTTGTTAAACTAGTCTGCTCATTGTGAGCAGTAACAAATCTGAGGCGAGTTCAGATTCAAACCCCTAGGCTCAAGCAACTAAGCATAAGGAACAAACCGTTTGCAGCATCTGAGCGCTATCCAAAATTAATCCATTTATTTTAATGCCCAAAAGCATTTTTTACATTTGATCTCTTAGCTTGATGATCTGCAGTGCAAGAATGGAAAGAGACTGACGTATCTCAAGGCACCATGCTGACCAGGGGAAGGGAGTAGGAGGCAAAAATCACTGAAACCATCAGTTCAGTGTACAGCAGCCGTAAAAGAAGTAATGAGAGAGGCAAGGGGAAAAAACACAAACCAAGAGATGATACTCACACTATAGACTGTATGGCATTGCTCAGATTCCATCTGAAACAGTGTACGGCTGGGGTCATTAGGGTTACACTTGAGCATAGAGTGATGCAGGGATCAAGGATCAAAATTACTAAAGAACTGATTGGGCAAGGGGGCTTCGCTCTCACTGCAAAAGAGAAGCCTCCAGGGTGACTTGTGGACAGCAATGACAGTAAAGCCATTCCACCAAGGCACGAACGTAGACTTCGCCCTGCCTCTACAGAACCTGTCTTAGCTGCCGGGCATGTAGCGAAGGACCTTCAGCTGAGGCTCACGAATAGGCAGCTACAAGAGGCCACACTGTTTGTAAGAGTCTCTTTTAAAACTTAGAGCAGGAAGAACAAATTGAAGAGTTTGCCACATGAAACAAATCTATACAGATTAAAAAAAGAAAAGAGCAGGCAAATATCCACCTGTATGAACAACACACCTGATCTCTTTAAGGGGCTAGCCCGCCCTCCCAATATTTTGGGATTTCCTAGATCTGGGAGGAAGGCAGAGCCCAAAATGTGGATTAAGAGTCCAGCCTCCATCTAAAATATACATGTGAAAAATAAAGCAAGCCATTTTAAAGGATGAGATTTCTCATCAAATTAATGATGGGAAAGGTTTGTCACAGCTAGTCCACTTTAGTGCCTGTGCAGGATTATTCCATACAGGACATTTATGAGTGCTTTGACCAGTCTTGCTCTAAATGTCCTAAGTGATGGAGCTTCCACTCCTATCCTTAGGAGATCTTTCCACTGCCCGGAAGCTTATTTGAGCCTGTTACTCCTAGTTCTACGCCCTGATTACCACCTTATATAATTCATCTTCCTTCCTAGCATTCATACCCTTCAAAAATGTGCAGGTGGTTATTCTATTCCCCACCATCTCCCCCGCATACACACACCGGTCAGCTAATGTTTCGCCAAACTATACACACTTGCTCTAGTGAGTTTAATCGTTCATTGGTCCTCATAAATTGATTGCTGTTGCTCCTCTCTCAACTCCAGCAGGTTTGTGCATATGTACCTCCCCCCACCCCACTCTCCTGCTGGTAATAGCTTATCTAAAGTGATCACTCTCCTTACAATGTGTATGATAATCAAGTTGGGCCATTTCCAACACAAATCCAGGTTTTCTCACCCCCCCCCCCCACACACACACAAACCCACTCTCCTGCTGGTAATAGCTTATCTAAAGTGACCACTCTCCTTACAATGTGTATGATAATCAAGGTGGGCCATTTCCAGCACAAATCCAGGGTTTAACAAGAACGTTGGGGGGGGGCGGGTAGGAAAAAACAAGGGGAAATAGGTTACCTTGCATAATGACTTAGCCACTCCCAGTCTCTATTCAAGCCTAAGTTAATTGTATCCAATTTGCAATTCAAACTGTTGAATTGGAATTCATCTGATGAAGTGAGCTGTAGCTCACGAAAGCTTATGCTCAAATAAATTGGTTAGTCTCTAAGGTGCCACAAGTCCTCCTTTTCTTTATTGTAAGGAGAGTGGTCACTTTAGATAAGCTATTACCAGCAGGAGAGTGGGTTTGTGGGGGCGGGGGGTGAGAAAACCTGGATTTGTGCTGGAAATGGCCCAACTTGATTATCATACACATTGTAAGGAGAGTGATCACTTTAGATAAGCTATTGCCAGCAGGAGAGTGGGGTGGGGGGAGGTATTTTTTCATGCTTTGTGTGTATAAAAGATCTTCTACACTTTCCACAGTATGCATTCGATGAAGTGAGCTGTAGCTCACGAAAGCTTGTGCTCAAATAAATTGGTTAGTCTCTAAGGTGCCACAAGTACTCCTTTTCTTTATACAAATTTCTGTTTTCTTCTGTGTAAAACTAAACTATAAAAAAGTAGATTGCAGGCTCAGTTAAATACGAAGGTGCTGCTTATACAAATTTGCAAAGACTGTACAAGGACCCTCAGGTTTTGTCTAGCTCATCTCACACTTGTCAGTTGTTTCCATCCCGACATGTTCATGAATTCTGCATCAGTTGCCCTGTATTTATTAACAGACAGTTGAGGGGTAATATTCAACAGTCTGCAGACAGTCCTGTAGTCCACCAGAGGGCACTGCAGTAACCCCGGGTGCTTCTGCCATGAAAGGCATTAGAACATCTTCCTCATATTACATGATTCTGGAAGAAATTAAGAGTACTCATTAGTAACCTCACATTTCTCTCCAAAAGGATGCCAGTTATGTCACTTCATGAATGCACAAGATCAGATAGCTCTGGAGAGTCAAAATAGCTACATGACTAGATGATAATAAATTTCCATAATGCTGGGTGTAATATACAGCAATCGATGTGGGTTTCACTCCCATGGGTGAAAATGGTCACAAACCTTTATTTACAAGACATTGCAACAAGAATATAAATGCAAACACATAAGCTTTTTCTCCAGCTTGTTCTCCTGCAGGGTTAAAGGAATACACACATTTATAAGCCCAGAGCGTGCCCTTCATTGGACTTTGCAGCATATGGCACTGATGAAGTGCTCAGTGATCCTAAGATGACCGTACTCTGGAGACAATCTTCACATTTCTGAGGCCCTGCAATAGCCATGGAGAGGAACTCAGTCAACTCAGAACTCCATATTGCTACAGAACAATCTATATATACCACTCACTGCCAGCTTTATCTTAACTCCATCTAGGGACGCATATGCTAGATGGACAAACTCTATATCTTCACTAGGTTAGGGAAGGGAGAAGCTCCTATATTTAAGGTTGGATGCAAGGAACACAGCTGCAGCACCTCCCCCTCCTTGCTTCAGCCTTGTCCCAGCTGGAGACATTTTAGATACACACTACACATGGGGCTCCGTTTCCTGTTTCTGCACCAGTACTGCGCTGCTCCGGCAATTGTAAAGCAACCACAACCTGGCATAACCAGCAAGCTGAGCAAAGCAAAGCAGCCTGAAGCCCACTACTGAGTGTGGCAGTGTGGTCAAGTAGATAGCGCACTGGACTGAGACACAGAAGATCTGGGTTCTATTTCCTGCCCTGCTACTAACCTACTGTGTGGCCTTGGGCAACTCAATTTACCTCTCTGTTTCCCCATCTGTAAAATGAGGATAATGACACTGCCCTCATTGGTAAAACGCTTTGAGATCTTCTGAGGAAAAATGCTAGATAAGAGTTATGTATTATTATTAATGGAGATGTATCTTACATTCAGAGAATGCATGAAATGAATTCTTATTTTCCTTGGACCAAATTCATCCCCTGCTTTCAAGGGAATCACGATGCAGAGGAAATTGGCCTCTTGTTCTTAGCGCCTGGTCCGCAAGGAGACTGTCATTGTTTCTATGATCATTGTAGCCAAGTTGTGCTCTCAGTTACACCAGTGTAAATCTAGAGTGACCCCACCTGAATGTAGTTAGCCCAGATACGCAACAGTAGTTGGGAGCAGTCTTTGGCCCCTGCTGTCGACAGAAAAGTGGGGGTTCATGTGTATCAGTCAGAGAAGTTTGGACCATGTGGCCAGCGCTCCTCCTTCTTTTTTAGGAGAGTATCCGGGAAAGCTCATTGTTTAAGGCAGCACTCGAGCTCCACTCCATACGGATTTGCACTCTGCATGATGCTCTTCACTAACATGATAGGTCTGGGATGTTTTCCGGCGAAGCATGAGAGCCAGGTACAGATCAGCATGGCTGCAGCTGCCCCACCTCCCATGCAGTAATATGCCCAGCCAAGTCTGCAGGTTCCTGCAGAGGGAGAAAGAAGAGGGGAAATCAGGAGCCCAGTACATGCTGTCGTGCAGTGTCAGTCATGAAACAGCCTGGTATTACCTCTGCACCTCCCCAGGCTAGTGGGGGAAAAGACAGTGATGTAGCCTGGCGCATGGGGTACATGGATACACTTTTACTGAAATCGTCTTTACATCCAAGGCCCTTTGTGACCTAACCCCAGCCTACCCATTGTCTCTCAGACACTATGGAGCTGCTGACTCCTGCCAACTTTCACTTCCCACTCATTAGATTTTCAAACAAATCCCTTTGTGCTCTCTCCCATGCAGCCTCTCATACATGAGCTCCCTGTAAACATCCACAAAGCCACGGCAGCGTTCCCCTCCAAATCTCGCCTTAAAACTCTCCTCAGAAAACAAAACAAAAAACTCAGCAATGGTGTGGTCAGACCACTACCTACCATGCCAACCCATATCACCTCACTGTTTCCTTGTGTTCCCCATCCCTCTGTATGTATCCAGCACCTGTCTCTTGTCTTATATTAGAGTGTAAACTTCTGGGAGCTGGTACCATCTTTCTGTAATTTGTTTGCCCATGATTGAGGCCCTTAGGTGCCCCCTAATACAAATAAATAATAATACATAAGCTACTTGTTTATTGTCCTTCTTTCGTCCTTTCCATGGTAAGGCAAATCAGGGTTGATTTCAAGTATATAGAGCCTGATTCCCCACTGTGTTAGTCCAGTCCTACACTTAGTCCTAAAGTTAGTGTTGTTATTCATTTGTATTGAGTAGCATCTAGAGCCCACTGTGCTAGCAACTGTACACACCTGTAACAAAGAAACAGTCCCTGCCCCAAAGAGTTTACAATCTAAGCAGAGAGCAGTAGATTTACACCAGCGTAAAGCTGGGGTAATGCCATGGTGAATCTGGTCCCATTTTTTTCAATACATCTTTTCTTTTTGTTTGTTTGCTTTGTTAAAACTTTACTATTTTATACTTGAATCAAATCAGTGACAGAGTTGGCACTGTTTTTCCAATGGAAACCATGGCATCTGGTTGCCTTGAGCCTGTGAGACACCGAGGGCAAAAATCACACCGGGGCATCTGGTCACTTAGAATGGGTGAGACATGCTTCAGGCAAAAGTTACACAGCAGCCAGGAGGAAAATCCAGGTCATTAACGCAGTCAGTGGAGGCCTAGAGGGAAGCTTCTCTTCTCAGACGCTCATGGCAGATTTGTATATATTGTTTTATGTATGGAACTCCCTTTGGTTTCTGCATGAGTGGATAGAAAGGAGTCGCCAAGTCAAGATCTGCTACATAGAATTTTGCCCTGAAAGCAGAACAAGATCTAAGAAGAGGAAATAAATCGCCCAGCTGTGATTCTCTGAATCCAAGTTCCACTAAGCAGACAGATTGCTCTAAAGACCTTTGATAAAGTTTCCACACCTGGAGTCACTGCTTTTGTACAACACAAGAGCAGCCCTAACAGCAAACCCCTAGCAGAAATTTCATCCAGGCTCTAACAGAAAATTAGAGCACCAGCAACTGTGAGGCAAAGTTAAGTTGCATAAAATGATGGTCAGGGGACTAATTTTCCTGTTGAGGGAGTTATGGCCTCGCCATTAGAAAGCCTTCAAGACAAGCATGTATATGGCAAGATTGGCCTTGATGCAGAGGGATGAGGGATAGGTGAGCTCCTGCAGCTCTTTTTTCCTATGATAGCTCACTGTAGGCCAATGTACGCTAATGCAAAGGGACCTGGTGGGGTGAAGACAATTGTACTCATCGGGCTATCCCCAAAATGTAGTTTATTACCAGTTATGGTATAGCCCATGTTCATTTATAACATACGTGATATTATAACATGTTATAACATTGCCTGTGATACTATAAATCTCCAGGTTCCTGCCTTAATTCCAAATTAGATAGTAATATTCATCTGGCCTTGAGTTCCCTTCACCGACCAATCAGTATCCATGAGTCCTGAGGTTGGCTAGACAATCAGAAACCTGGGGGGGAGGGGAGAGACAATACATGCTCCAAGAATGGAGAGAACTGATTCCATGATGGCGCTGGCGGTTTTGTGCTTTACGCCGTGAAACCTTGTCGTAATTTCAGTAGTTACTAGAGCAGTCCACTGAAAGCAACAATAACTAACACATGGCATATTAATTCACACTAGCCCTCCACATTAGGTCTTTTGCGTGCTGAGAGTAACTCATGTCCACACTGCAGTGCCTGGCACCAATGTCATATTAGCGGGAGGGAATGTAGTTCATGTCGAAGGAACATCTACAGCAGGTGGCAATTATACTTTAGGAAGAAAGATTTTGCAAATTATAGAGTCAACAAATCGCACAAATTGGCCTTGGTTGTACATGCCGGCTGAAGTTAAATCCTTTGAAATGATGCCGTGTTGCTCAGTGGGCAACACTCACTCCAAGGAACCTCTTTTTCAGTCATGTACACTGCAGTACAATACGCAGAGCCCTGAGTGAGCATTGAACAGATCAGGCTGAAAATGAGGGACTCCACCGCACAATTCACATCTTGCACCACATTTCAAATCCTTCAAAGTGCGGGGGAGTTCGGAGCCAGGGTTTATGCCAATCTGTGATTTAAGGTCATCTGCTAAAGGACACCCCCCTACCCCGCCAGCTGCCCCTCTCTTGCTCAGTAAGCATCCAGTCAGTAAAGATGGCAAATGTAAGAATTAAAAGTAATATCTCTCCGAAACTGTTGTCTTCTGCTTGTAGGCTAGGTAGTATTATTATTATTATTATTGTGCGAACAATTCAGGCCCTCTGCTGTCAGACATCCTGCACTGCCTAGCCAAAAAAAAATTAAAAATCCACTACAAGGTATTATAATGCAAACATGGTGATAAAAAAGAGCCAGTGTGCATCCCCATGGTTCAAGGGACAGATGTGCAGATCTTCATGGGATTCTATGGATAATTTCCACTGATTAAAGAAAGTGCTGGCTTCTCTGCTAGAAAACAGCAAGCATTCAATAGATGTCATCCTTCTTGGCTGGATTATGTTATTGGCAAAAGCAGATATATAAATACCTTGCACATTTTTACTGTCCTTAGAGCTAGCCTCTGAACAACGCGAGTAACGTGTAGTTTGATGTTCTCTGCACTGTTATGCCAATGGTCAGCTTTTTTGATTTAATTGTTTAGCAAAGGCTGGTTCAAGCAAACTGTGCTGCTATTTAAATATTCTTTGTGTAACTCAGGACTATGTCTAGCCCCGTTATTCTGTTATTCTGGGGTTTATTTCATTTATTCATTTATCTGCATTGTTTACTCAGTTTGTTCAAGGCCTGCAGGAAGGATTGCTCCCCAGAATGACTGAAGCATCTATCCTTGCATAAATACATTACAGCAAGCACAAGATTAGTTGTTTCAATGTCCCTTTCTGAATCTGATCTATGGGTCCAGCCATCCCTTTTAGCATAAAGCAGGGCACAGTGGGGAAAAAAGATGCACCAAAACAATGCAGCTCTGTAGAGTATGGATCTGAGAATTGAGCCTAAGCAAAGCTTAGCTGTGGAAGTGGTCTGGGCTCATAAGAGGATGAGTAAAAGTCTGCTGAATGTGCTTCTGTTTTGACTGCCGTCTGATGATCCAGACACGCTGAGCAAGCACAGCAAGGGCGTGCAGCACAGCGGAGAGCTGCTGATGTGACTAGCCATGCAGGTTTCCCCAGTCGGGGCTTCAACAGGTGGTGAAATAAAGCTCAGTGACACTCCCTTGATTAGCTCTGGACAAACATGACAAATGTCCACACATATTCTTTTGTATTCTGAAATGAATTCCCCTTTGGCTGAGTCCCTGCTTATCAGGAACACTCCAGCGAGTGATTTTTTTGGCAGGAATGTTTATGGAGATGGTGAATTTTAAACGTTTCAAATTCATAATCACAAGTATTCACCCTGGCAACCTGTTTCAAAGAGCTACATTCATCGAGTCAGGGATCCAAATCACGCCATGGGCCCTCCCAGTCAAAACAGCTTGCATGTGCCCATGAACAGATCACAGAGGAATAACACATCACATAAATTATGGGTTATGAGTTATTTGCCCACCTCTAGTCAAGCTCCACCCATTAGATGAGGACACAAGACTGAATGTCAGTCCTGATGCCACATGGACATTGGCACTGAGGTGGCACTCGCGCGTGATATGCAGTTGTGCACACATATGTACAGGCAGCAGATTCCCAGCCTGCTTCCCCCAAAGATCACACACTTTAAGGCGCTACAGTGCATGTACATCTAACCAAGTCTTTACCTCACTGATGGGCTCCTGCTCCATTGCTGTGTGCGAGAGTGTGCCTGGGAACAGAACCACTTAGTAACCTCGCTCACAACTACACAGCCCTGTGCCTCCACTCAAGATAGGCAAGCGTTGCATAACCCACATCCACCCAGAGATTTGCTTCTGTGTTGTGAAGAGTGGGGGACGTGAGTGTATAAAACCTGCTGGAAGCAGCTTTAACCTATATACCATGGGCACCATTGTAACACTGTGATGGCACGCGGGAGGCATGTGGGATAAAAGATTTTCCACCTCTTTCTGCCAGACCTTCACAGCATGTGACCCAGACATGTAAGCCCTTCTCCAGTTGTACGCCCACTCACAACTCATGACAGAAGCACAGGGGATCGGACCTGGTGTACCTCACCTTCTGTTTACCCTAGGCCCTGTTTCCTTGATGCACGTTGCACAGGTCAATTAGTCCCAGAAGTATTTTATCCTACGAGAGTCAGGGGGAGGGAAAGGAGTTGTAAGAGAAAGAGAAAATGTTCCCACAGCAAATAAGCTTTTAAGCTAAGTCGGGAAGGGGTAAAAAGCTCACCTTGTTCCTCTTTGGTATGTATCATTGTTAATAGGCTCTCACTGAGTCACTCCATTCGAGTGTTGAGATTTGCTGTGACAGGATCACTCATAAAAGTTATTAAATCATCACTCAGAGATGGGTCTGACATTTCAATCAGAGACTTTGCT